GTTCTATTTTCTCATACGTTTCTTGAAAAAGCAATATTTTACATTTGCTGTCATTTTTGAAGTATCTAGAGTTGCTATTGTACCAACMTAAACCTGCTCTTTCCATTTTTGGACATCATTTTTTGATAGATGATTGATTTAAGGTAGGTGTAATTGCACCCCCAGCTGCAAAGGGCCTATTAGGAGATTTTGTCCAGTCCCCACTCGGTTTCAAACCCGGCAATGTATATATAGTTATTATAATATACAAAAAAACTATTTCTATTCCAATATTACGTCATATAATGTTCATACGGTTACGTACATCATAAACCCAGTATAGAATATTTCATACCTTGGATGCCTGTGTTTATAGTAGTTGTTCTTTTTGAATTTCTTCATAGTTGTTTTAAWACATTTATTTAAAGCAATTTTTACAAAGTCAGTTTCATCCATTACGACTTCAACACGGACAAAGTGTGTAATTCATTGTTATCGCTTTGAAAATTCTTTATCGACGTAAAAAAGGCTGTTAAGATGCTCTTATTGTTTCAAATACGAATTCTTGGTGTGCAACCCCCAAAGTGAAAATTTATTAGTCGTTATTTTCAAAAACCAAGTAGCGAGTCACAAAGAGCATAGTCAGATTATCTAGAATACGAGCTTTAAGGCTTGCAGCTTACTTTCTGATGAAGATAGCAGCGAATAAAGATTTGAAATATTTGGTTAATTTGTATGGGGACGCCATCTTGGATGATAACTTTGATCATCCAAGATGGCGGCTGGTTTCAAATTGACTTCAAAAACTCTGGTTTCCTTGATTTCCTTTGTAAATTTTATTCAATTATGGCTTTATTTCAAAGAAAAATCACCTTAAGAACGTTCTTACGGAGTTGAAAGAATGATTTATCCAATTTCGAAGTTTTTGTTTAAGATCTAAAAGTAGAATAAATTAAACTCCGCACAAACTAAAACTTTTGTGATTCGCCACCAAAGCGTTGAATTCGTCTGAAAATTTCCATACACACTATCTAGAAATATATTTAAGACATACTGTAAGAACAGCTCTTTAGCAAAAATATTTTGGATTTTGCGAGATTTTTTGCGTGACTATGACATCACATGCACACGAAGAATA